ACTGGTTGTGGGGCAAAGATGGAGTGGTCAAGGCTTCTTGGATGGGTCGTAAGCTGGTGCTGTTTCAATTCCCGTCGGCCGAGATTTGTCAATGGGTTTTTGAAACGGAGCCTTGGCATCACAGAGAAAATCTCCTGTTTCTCCGGAAGTGGGAACCTGGGATTAGTCCTCTGCACATCGACAACACCGCACTACCACTGTGGATCAAGCTTTCTAATCTGCCAACGGAATTAACATCGAAGGAAGGGTTAGGCAGAGTGGCTAGTTCTTTGGGAAAGCCGCTATGTATGGATAAGTCTACAACTCAGGGGCGTAAGGTTGGGTTTGCTCAAATTTGTGTTGAGGTTAAGGCTACTGCTTAGAAGATTACAAAGTTAAGTGTCACACCTGATGGTCTGCCAGAGATTTTCATTGATGTGGTGTACTGTCATATGCCAAAGGTATGTGAGAAGTGTGGTTGTTTTGGGCATAGCTGTGCTAAACTGGAAGAAGAGCCGCAACGAGTCTGGGTGAAGCAGAATCCGATTATAGGTGAGGACTCCTCTCAGCAGGCTTCTATGCTGGAGCAAGAAGGGAGAGGTTCAACATTGGCTGCTGTGGTTGAGGGTGAAGTAGCTCAAAGTACAGAACAGGAGGGGGTTGCTGAGACATTAGAACACAGGGCAGGGAAAGATAATATCATAATGTGCTCAAACTCCACCTTCCATGAGTGGTTTGGTGGATAAGGATGGTTTCACCCTGGTTGTTAGAAGAAAGCAGAAGCAGCGGATATGGGTTGGTCCAGGTTCTACCAGCAAGGGGAGTCTTGGCTATGCTGATAGAAATTCAGGAGGTTTGTACCGTGCTACATCAACTACTCGCCCAACTCTGAATTGTCCTCCGTCTCCTCCTAAGGTGAGAGGTAGGGGGAGGAAACGAGGTAAATGAGGTTACTAAGTTGGAATGTCAGAGGATTCAATTCCTCTGACAAACACTCAGCTGTTCTTGAGCAGTTGAGACTGAAAAGGATTGATATTGTAGGGATATTGGAAACCAGAGTTACTAAAGAAAATAGCAAGAAAATAATAGATAGTGTCTTTTCTGTTTGGAAGCATACTGATAATTATGATAGTTCTAAATCAGGTAGAGTTTGGTTATTCTGGAGAGCAGATCTGAAAGTTACTCAGTTAAGTGAGGGGGAGCATTATATCCAGATTTTAGTAGAGGATGCAGAACCATTTATAGCTATCTATGTTTACAGCCCTAATAAAGAAGTGGAAAGGAAGAGTCTCTATCAGGAGTTACTGCTTCTAAGTAATGCAAACATTCCTATGGTATTAATGGGGGACTTCAATGCAATTGCTGAGATTAATGAGACTTCAAATGAGCAGGAGGTCACTCCAAGTATGCAGGATTTCAGGGGATGGATTAAGGATATGGAACTTGTTGATCACAGAGTATCAGGAAATTGGTTTACATGGTGGAATAAACAGCAGGCTAACCCTATAGCTAGAAGGATTAATAGGGTACTAGTTAATGAAGCTTGGTTGGAAAGGATTAGGGATAGCTCATCCTACACGAATCCGCCTGGTATTTCAGATCACTGTGGTCTGATACTGGACACGAATCCTGGGCTGAAGACTCTTCCAAAACCGTTTAAGTATTTTACTTTTTGGCAAGGCCATCCAGATTATATGCAGTTAGTTGAGCAGGCTTGGCAAAGGAATGTGGAGGGGTACCCTTCGTATGTCTTCTATGGTAAGCTTCATAGTGTTAAGCAAGCCCTGAAGCAACAGAACAGAACTGTGTATTCAGACATTTCGGCTCGAGTAAGGAGTGCAGCAGTAGAGCTTGAGGCTGCTCAGAATGATGTTCTTCGAAACCTTAATGCAGATTCAGTGGAGAGGGAAAAGCAGTTGTGTAAGGAGTATTTTGAGTTAAGAAGGGCAGAAGAGCAGTTTTACAGACAGAAAGCCAGAACTCAGGCTATTAAGGAAGGGGACTCGAATACTGCTTATTTTCATAAAACAGTAAAAATCAAAGCTCAGAGGCAGCAGATTACACGTATGCAAAATGAAAGAGGTGAAGTCCACACTGATGTGCAGAGTATTGGTAAGATAGCAGTGGAATTCTATGAGCATCTGATTGGGGCTGAGGACCTAAATGTGGAGATCAAGGAGGATTCTTACTATCATAGCTTAATTCAACATAGGTTGTCTGAGGATGAGCAGAGGGAGTTGCTGAGAGGTATTACAAGGGCAGAGATAAAGCAAACCTTCCTTTCATTGGCCAGGGATAAAGCCCCAGGCCCAGATGGTTTCCCTGTAGAGTTCTATAGGACTCACTGGTCTCTCATTGGCACTGAAGTTGAAGAGGTAGTTCTCTCTTTCTTTTCTACTGGTTTTATGCCATCTATTGTGAACAGCACCATTTTTACTTTGGTTGCTAAAATACCCAGTTCTGAAAAGATGAAAGATTATCGACCTATTGCTTGTTGTAACACCTTGTATAAGGGGATTTCAAAATTGTTAGCTAACAGACTTGCCCTAGTTCTTCCTAGTGTGATCAGTAGGTCTCAATCTGCTTTTATCAAAGGGACGTCTATTAGTGATAATATTCTACTGGTGTCAGAACTGGTTAGAAATTATCATAGAAAGAATATTACGCCTAGATGTGTGGTGAAGATTGACATCATGAAGGCTTTTGATTCTGTTAACTGGAAGTTTCTGTTTAGTATACTAAAAGCAATGGGGTTCCCAGAGAGTTTTATCAAACTGATCTTTGCTTGTGTAACTACACCTACTATTAGAGTTGCAATAAATGGAGGATTGTGTGGTAATATAAAGGCTAGAAAGGGATTAAGGCAGGGAGATCCCTTATCCCCCTACCTGTTTACAATTGCAATGGAAGTGTTGGACTGTTTGGCTAAGAAGGCTATGGTTGATAATCAGATCCCTTACCACCCTAGGTGTAAACCTCTTATGATTTCCCATTTATGCTTTGCGGATGATTTGATGATGTTTACTAATGGGTCCATAAGAGGGGTTGCAGACATTAGAAGGTTAATGGATAGTTTCTACAAGCTGTCTGGACTGAGATGTAACCCGGCCAAGTGCCAACTTTTCTGTGCTGGTATCCCAAAAGATGAAATGCTTGCTATTTCTGGGTTTACTGAATTCCCCCTGGGGACACTCCCTGTGAGGTATTTAGGTGTCCCACTAATAACAGGTAAACTAACAAGGCAAGATTGCAAGGTTTTGGTAGACAAGATAACACAAAGGTTGAGAAGTTGAAGATCTAAACTGCTCAGTTATGCGGGGAAAATACAGCTTATTACTTCAGTCATTTCCAGTACTCTCCAATACTGGCTTAACATTTTCCTATTGCCTCAGTTTGTTATCAAGGAAGTGGGTAGGTTGTGTAATGAATTTCTATGGGATTCTGCAGAGGATGGCAGCCGTAAGAAGGCGGTAATGGCTTGGGATAAGTTGGCTATCCCAAAGACAGAGGGTGGCCTTGGAATCAAAAACTTTGGTGCTTGGAATAAGGCATGTGTAATGAGGCATTTATGGGAAATCCTCACTCTGGGAGGATCAATCTGGGTTGCATGGATAGTCAGATATAGGCTGAAGGGTAGGAGTGTATGGGATATCTCACAGGTTTCTGCAGGTACATGGATTTGGAAGAGGATTCTGAAGTGTAGGGAGAAAGCTGTTCTTTTCATTACTGGTTCTGGCAGTACCACTCTCTGGCAAGGGGAAAAAATGAAAAGATATTCACTATCTCGTGTCTGGAATGATATCAGAGAGAAGAAACCAGAAGTGCAGTGGTGGAGACTAGTCTGGGCAAAAGAAATCATCCCTAAGCATGGGTTGATTTTATGGCTTGCTATACATGGGAGGCTGGTGACTCAGGATAAACTCCTGGCCTGGGGGAAATCTGTTTCTGGATGCTGTTTATTGTGTCCAGGAGGGTTTGAGAACAAAGATCATTTATTTGTGCATTGTGCTTATTCTTGTGCTGTTTTGAGACTCTGTATGCAGAAACTGGCTCCACCGATAGTAGGAAGCTGGGATGATATGGTTACTTGGTGTACAAGGGAATGGAGGAAGAAGACTGCTAAGATACGTGTTTGTCGAGCCCTGTGGAGTGCTGCTATGAGTCATATATGGCGTGAACGGTGTTCTCGATTGTATGGGGAACGAGGGGTCAAAGATCCTGCTATGCTGGTGAAGTTGATACGTGAGGAAGTAGCTTACCGAGTTTGTGAGGATTCTGCTCTCCAGTTAGAATTAGATAGTATTAATAGTGGATAGGAGTTGATAGTACTTTTTGTTTTTGAGTTGTAAACTGTTTGAGAGGCGCCGAAGATTTCCTCTGCTGTGGCCTGGGCTTAATGCAATTTTTGATTTCGCATAAAAAAAAAAAACTTGTTTAAGTATAGATTACTTGTTTGCCACATAACCCTAATTAAATGATGATCAGACCTTGCATAGCCAGTTCTCATTTGGTTGATTTAAAATTAAATTCTTTATTCATATATTAATTAACTGAAAAACAAATTTTATAAGTCACGTTCAAACATCCCCTGTAGTAGGCTTTTTAAGATTCCAGGCAGCCAATGAATTTTCTTATAATCAATTCCAGCCAATGAATTAATCAGGTCAAAGATAGTAAGACAAGATTTCGTCACGGTTTCAACTTCCCAAATTATTCAACCTCGGAAGCCCCAAATTTTCAATTCCACGGACCTAAGTGTAACTCACAAAACTTCGCGGACGAAAACCACTCAAGGCGAAAATTTGAAGGAGTGAAAGTTCTAATTTGCAACCCGAACCACAGACAGAGTGAAGAGAAAGGAAGAAACCCAATAGAGTAAGTCAGCACCAACGATCTCATTCAATCCACATCTCAATTGGCTATACAAATCTGAAATTCCAATCCAAGGAATTCAATTTACCATCCAGTGAACAAGAAGAAATCGGGGGAAATGAAAAACAATGGCGAATCAATGGATTCGATTAAGCATGCACAGGACCCGGAGCCACTAACACCGTCCCACTCGGCGGATTCAACGAAGATGGCGGCGGAGCTCCAGTGATAGCCGGAGCATTAGGCGGCGGCGGAGAAATGGGCAGCGGCTGCAGAGGCGGCGGCGGAGACGCAGTCTCCTGCGCTGGCGGTGGGGGAGAGGAAGACGATTCGGAAGGAGGAGGGTTTGCGCTTGCTTCCGGCGGAGGAGGAGGAACTGGAGTTTGCAATTGGCCGGAGGGAGGAGAGAATGGCGGTGGCTGGTTGCCGGAATCAGGGGTAGGAGGGCTGGGCTGGGCAGAGATGGGGCTGGAACTACTACCGGGGGATGAGGGAGTAGCCGGATTGGGATTGGCGAAGACGGCGGCGGGGGCAGGGGGAGAGTAGCAGGATTCGTCTTCAGGGGAGCATTGGCGGCGGGATTGGTGGGAGGCGCCGCGGCGGAAGAGGCCGAAAGCCAGGATGAGGCCGGCGACCACCGCGACGGCGACAATGAAGATGAAGATCTTGGTAGCTTTACCCACATAGCACATCTGCGCCATCTTGTTTCTTGTGATTTTTGGGAATTCTGGCAAAAATTGGGGGATCCGTTGAGAGTGTGGGGGTTGGGGAATTTAGGTACGGGAGGAGGTTTGAGGGAAGAATGTGGGTCGTTTTCGTCTCGTTTTCATGGCGGTGTCTGGGGAAAAGGAGAAGCTCGTCGAGAGGAGGGAAGTGGAGAGCTTGGGGCTTCGGTCTGGCAGTGGCTGGGCTTTGGGCTGTGAGAAGAGAAGAGGGAGGCACGTGAAGGCCAAATTGGAGAGATTGGTGAATGAAAAGGAAGTTGACATTTGTCTCTCGTTGGATTATTTTCTTAAGAAACATTTTTGGATTCCGATGACTCGCTCTCAGTCTTCTCCGGTATATGAAAACCAATGTTGTCCAAACTAAACCCGAATAAGAATTGGTACACACTTTAGTGATCTAATCGGTATAACAATCTCGTTGTTCATTATCAAGTTGTGTTCTCTTGTTTGGGTAATAATCTCTCAATTATTTTCTTGACATATATAATGGTATTTGGTTAAGAAAACATATCGTGAATCAATTAGTTATGAATTTTTTTTCTCATTTTTAAAGTTAATAGGTATGAGTTATGAAGTGTTCATAATGATGATCGTCTTTGTGGCTTAGAAACGCGGTACGCTTCGATTGCTTGAATAATGCATTATTAGTCAAAATTGTAAGAGGTTATACAATAAAAATCCATGATAACATATATTATGTAAAATTTGTGATTTAACTCGCCTACCAATTTAAGCTCTAATTTGAAATTTTTTTGATTGAAAGACCATACTATACTACTTTTCAATTCTTTGCTATTAGTCTCGATTTTCATCAATGTTGAAAAGATAACGTAATCACTCTTTTTTTCCTTATTCAAGTTCCAACTATTCCTTTTCTGGTTGTAGCAGCTTTCTGCAGAGATGAACAACCCGGAACCGCATTATTATTATTATTATGTCTGCGTTTAGTGTAAAAGATTCGTTTGCGTTTCTCTGTACTTTGTAGTAAAGTTGAATTGTTTGCAGGAAAGCAATTGTATTATGAAGACTTAAATAGCAACTGAAATATGGGCCGTGGGATGGGCCAACGCAACGCCCACTACAGTGTACACACGTAACCCACCAGTGAAAACAAAGGGCCAAAAAACCTTTCCCCCGCGACATGTTACAGCATGCTCAAAAATAGCCATGCGTCTACATCATTCTCTATTATTACAACGGCTCTTGGCTGCAATTGATGTAATATATGTTTTCCCCCTACGTTTATAGATTGTAATACGTTACCCAAATCTCATATCAACAAAGTGTGAGAGATCGTAATTCATAAGTAAAAAATCGATTTTAATGGACAAAAAGCATTTTAGGGTGAAAATTGAAATGAAATAGTTATTATGAGAAATCTGAAATTAAACATGTTCATTATAAAACAATGCAACGACAGATGATATTGTTAAAAAGTCACTTTGATATGCACCACAAAATAACATAAAAGTTTATAATCTATCTCAGAGTAATTTATGGAAAGCATCCGGAAGCCTAAAACCAAATCATCTCAGAGTCCTCCATAGCACCCAGAGTCAACAGAATGCTAATCAATCTAGGTATAAATAGTTTCGCTAAGAAGAAAATACAACAAAGAGTTTGTACATGGTTTATAAACTAATGTGACCAAACTGATCAGCTATATTAAACAACATAGAGACTACCATCTAAATATTGTAAGAGCACCCGTTAGGTCATATAGTATATATTACTTCATAATGATAATACTTAAGATGCAAACTAGCTAATACTATTATTATGATATTCACTATACAAGGATAGTTCATAAACCTAGAAGAAGTGACAATATTTCTGTCTGCATCTTACGTTACACATTGATATTGACTACATAGTTCGAATAGTTCTACAGAAACAACTTCTTTGAGAAAGACCATTTAATGAGATAGTAATGCATATACCAATTGTTTCAGGTATTATCCTAACGATTAACATGTGAAGATCCACTTTATTTATAAGCACAACTACTTAGTCAACCTGTTTTTTTGGCGACTATATATGGAAGGATGACATGGAGGGGGTGAAATCTAAAGCGTTTTAATTTTTTTTAAGATATCTTATGTTACTTATATATGCGTGGCGGGCATAGCCAGTCATATTTGACTCACCTAAAATTTGAAACTTTTTTTTTTATCAATTTCAATATACATTGGTGTATATATAGGATTGACTACTTAGGACTAGGGATGACAGAACGATTTTCGGTTAGCAGTTAATCAGACGGTTTTGATCGAACTGATCGATTTTCGACTGACCGAACCGACCGGTTTTCGGCTAACCGAAAACTGTCACCAAGTGTCGGCGGTCGGTCGTCGGAGGAGAGGGGAAGAGGTTCGGCTAGCCGATTAATCGTAGTCGGAAACCGGCGGTTAACGGGCTAACCAATCTCTTCCACTTTCCAAAATGACCCCGCTCCAACCCCACCCAAAACGAACCCCATCCCACCAAAACCTAATCCCAGATACCATTCCCCACTCTCCAGCCAGGCAGCCACCCCCCCCCCCCCCATCCCACCCCTTTCTCGTGCAGCCACGACCCACGGCCACCCTCGCAGTCGCCTCCCTTCACCAGTTCACCGGCCACCCTCGCTGCCCCCTCCTCCAGCCACCTCGCCGTCTCCCTCCGCCTCCAACCGTTGCGACACGCAGGCTGCCTCCAATCGCGCGACGTGCTGCTCCTCCAGGCCTCCACCCATCGCGCCGCCCGAACGTCGTCTCCCTCCGCCTCCGTTCGACGACTTCGCGAAGAAGTCGCTCCTCCCTCCTCCGCTGGCGGCAAGCCCTCCTGCTCGGCTGCTCCTTGAGTGCCGACTCATATTATGTAAGTTTATTAGAATTTAGGAGGAAGGAGAGAGACGGAAGGAGTGGTGGTGGTGGTGAATGGTTTGAATGGAAAAAGAAAGGAGAGAGAAGGATGGAGGATATAAGGAATAAGTAGTGGGAGGATTTTTGGCTTTTTTTAAATTATTTTTTTGGAAATTAGGGAGTGTTTTCGGGTATGCGGCTAACCGAACCAAAACCAATAAACGACCGGCCGGTGGTCGGCTAACCGTAGTGTCCCTCACGGTCAGTGGTCGGCAGCGGGAGGTGGTGGCTTGGTTTAACCGATAACCGAGAAATCGAATTTCTGTTAAATCGAAACCGGCCGACTGCACCCTTACTTAGGACCCATAACCAAAAAGACTGTTGACATTTAATTTAATGTGAGGGACCGAATATCTAGCTTTGAAGATATCAAGTACCTAACCACAGTTTTAGAGTTCTGTTACCATCCGAATTTATTGGAAGTGCAGCCATTCTCGTTCCAGCATGGCAGCATGTCTGCTGCCACGTCAATCTCCACGACGGAACGGAGTCTCGAACGTTGAGTAGAGTTGAAGGAAGGTTTCCTCTTACTCCCCCCACCCTCTCACAATCTGTTGTATTGCCAATTTCACCTCAATTCTCTTACGATTTATTCTTCAATGGTTTCTTAGTTTAATTAGGGGTGGGCAACGGGAAACGGGTATTTGAGTATACTCATACCCATTCCGTTTTTTTAGAATTATAGTACTCAAATATCCATAAGTTGTTTTACGGAATGGGACATGGGATCAAGATATTCTCTAATGGTTACCCGCGGGTTACCCGTTAACCCCTTTTGGGGATTACAGGTGCCCGCACTACCCGCTCATTCATAATTACTAATTAGATATTAATTACACGTATTGTTTCATTCTATTACATCACTGGGCAAAAATTGACTCCACATAACAGAATATCACCATATCAATCCCCTAATTTGATTTCAGGGTAGTTGTTCTTATATGCAAAAGAAGCAATCTCCCCAAAGCAGGTGTTGTTCTCAGAGAGGTGATACTTACTCATGTTTGGGTATAGAATGCCCCAATTGTGCGCTGCAGCTGCTTCGGATCAGATTCAGCCAGCGGGGAGATTGAAATATCGAAGAAAATGCCAAAATAACAAAAACTATCCTAATTTATTGGTAACCTGCAGGTACCCGTTAATCCGTATGAGACGGGACATGGAGTATAATTTTATCTTCAAATGGGACTGCAATCCCATCACGTTGCCCACCCCTACACTTAATCCGTTGGCACTAAGATTTGAGCTTGGAAATTTCTATAAGAAACACACCATTTCGGCATTTTCTCTCTAATTTCCTAAGTATATTTACGTAAATAACAAACTTCGAGGGAAATAAATTTTTACAAACATGTGTGACAAGAAATTTACTTTAGCTAGTGGTGTTTTTCTTTTGGAAGATGGCCAAATTTCGAAAAATTATTAGTGCAAATTGAATAAGAAATTTCATTCACATACAAACAAATTAAACAACAACGAGCTCATAGAGTTTGATCGCGTGCACCGAAGAAAAACAGAGGATTTCAAGTCTCAACTGTTGGTACAATTGCCATCCATATTATCCAACGATCAATATCATTGAGTGTTAGTTCGTGCTAACACAATGTTTTAAAAACCCTATCATACTGAAGATACCGATTAACCACGATCTAGACCAGACCAAATCGTACCAGTCCGCAAGTTAAACAGGCAGACCATGGACCAAACCAAATTGTATTCATGGTGTTATAGTCCAGACCAAATCATACGATACGGTCTAAACCGCGATTTCTCATACTGTTTTGTCTAGGTTCCTAAGTCCTAACCCTACCAAACAACAAATGGAATGTGATTTTACTGTATGAAACCACTAACTATTTTCGTATAACTTTTGTCGGAATTCACAATCATTACTAACACATGATCATAAAGCATAGTAACTTTGACCCTTATGCTTTGGCTTTTCATCTAGGATTCCATCAAAGTGTGACATCTTGCTCAATGATTGGAAGGAGGTAAAAGGAATGCGAAAACCAAAAGAAAGGGTAACAAACTGGGATAGATTCAACAAACACAATCAACACTACAAATCAAAGCGATCAATTTAGGGAATCAAAACGCCATCAGGTCTCAAAAGAATGCACATAAATCATCCCGCAGGGAGGAAAGAAAAGCATGAAAATCAAGCCTACAGAAGCATTGCAATCATAGCCAGGGAGCAGAATCCGGCGGAAACCCCACCAACCCAGAACCCATTTCTGCCCGCCGACGATGTGGCAACCGGCGGAGTCAGAGCAGAGGTCCCAGTGGGGAAAGAGACCGATGCAGGGGAATATGCAGGGGAGCTTCCGAAGACCGGGATCGAAGATCCCAGAGGCGACATTTCTGGAGATTCCGCCGGCGAATCGGCGGTGGGGAACGGGAGATCAGACGGGGAGGAAGAAGCAGGGGGGAGGAGAGGGGAGTCCTCCGACGCCGGCGGAGAGGATGCAGGGGATTCCTCTGGCGTGGCGGCAGCAGGGGCAGGGGAAGTTGCGAGGACGTTAACTTGGAGCTTCATTCCTCCGCTGCAGTGTCCCGGCGTCCCGCAGATGAAGTATCTATCGCCGGAGGATGTGAGAGGGACAACGGTGGCACCGCCGGTGTAAGATTGGATCGGGGTGGTCGCCTGGCAGGAGGTGTAGTCTGTCTGTGGAACTTCCACCACGTCATGGCTTGGCGCGTACTGGAAAACTGTGAAAAAAGGAAACCAGGAAAAATAGTTTGAAAATTTTCCTCTACACAAGAATGCATTTCTCTATTTTATTGCGAGTTTAATTCAACTCGAATCAGTTGACTTCATAAGATAGAGGAGGAATTCAACGGATAGCTGTTAATCAATCATTAGCGTTGAGTTGAGAATTTGAGGTTAGGAGACTTACTTAAGTTATCCCCAACTTGGAATGTTTTAGAAGTAGCCCAAGTTTGAAGGTCAGTGGCAGCATCCCACCCACCGTTGGGACCTCCAACTGTATAACTGGCAGCCATGGATAAATTGAAAAGGACCGCCATTGCTATTGTAGCCACCAAGCTAATTGTGATGAATGTACTTCTCACACTTGCCATATTTCTACTGAACAGTGTATGATAGATAGATGTTAGAACGAAGGAAAACTAGAAAGTGCTATTGAACTGATTGCTTATGATGCTGGAGAATGAATGCATGGGGTGACTTATAAAAGGGTGCTATATGGTTGGAGTTGGTCCAACTTCGATCATTGATTCTGGTGCTTAGTGTCTCTGGTTTAGGATGTGAAGTTGGTGTGTACAGATTGGACCAGTATTGGGTTCAACCAATCACAAACTGCTGGTCATATATATGTTGAGTAGCAGCTGGGAAGTGGGTTAGGTGCAGGTTTGGTTGACTTGGTAGAGCTGCTTTGGAAGTTCATGCCTTCTGAATCCTTGGTTTTTATCATTCGATCGTCTTCCCTGTTGGTCGAATAATGACTGAACCCAAAAAGCTGTAATAGGATGATTGGTGAGGCTATGGGATGCATGTGATGTGAAGAGAAAATCAGAATATCTATTCTTTAATTCTTTAAAATATAAAGAGTGGGTACACTTTATTACCAAAACCGCTATTTACTATAGCATTCTTTGTCGTCTTTTGCGGACTTCTACGAGCTTCTTCCTCTTGCTTCTACCTATCCGCCTTGGCCTCCTTTCCTCCTCAGCTCTGGTCCCCCAAATCTTTCGTACACAGCAAGGTTGGTTGTACTTCCCCCAAATCCCGGAAAACACCTCTTCCCCGTCAATCCGCCACTCCGGTTTGCTTCTCGAGGCCGCTAGCTCCTTTGATACGCCAGCGCCCATGTTCCCTCTGGTCATGTCCAGCGTCCTCATCTCTCGGATTCCGCATCGCTTCTTTGCATTCTTCTTTTGAATTTTCATTGAAAATCATATTGGACCCCATTCCCCCAATTTCCTCTCCATTCAGTTCTCGCCTGCACTCCACTTTCCTCTTCCTCCCCACCCACGATGAATTATATCGTCCTCCCCACCTACCATGGACCGACAAGGCTCCGGCGGTGAAATACGCCTTCTCCATGCATGTATTACTGGAAATACATGGTGCCAGGATGGATTTTCCGAGATTGCGATACTGTGGACGATGAATTGGTGAGTTTAGTCTTCTTTGCACCCTTCTGCTCACGAAATTGCCTCCCCTTTCTTACCTAGATCTTTCCCTTTTTTACTTGGGTGTCCTGGTGCAGGTACTTGCATTTCGCCATGCATTTTATGGCCGCAACAACTACTCCACTGTGCTTAGGTGAAGAGATGGCTTCTCTGGTTACCTCATCTTCACCACAATGAACAAGAAAAGGTAAGAAGAAATGTCTTTCTATATCTTTCGCTCAGTCGACAAAGAGGACAAGGGAAGAAAAATATCTCTCATCGTTTAATCCAAATTTGCTGGGCAGGAGGGTCCCCGTCGTCGGCGATTATAGCTGGGAAATGAGGGATTCGAATATCTCGATCCGCAACCACCATGAATGGTTGGCGACTGAGGAGCCTGCGTCGGAGGGTCCGCGGAGAGTGTTGGAGAAAGGCGGCAGTGGCAGGGAAGGTGGAGGCCGATGCAGAGGAAGAGGATGCCGGCGACGGTGACACATTGACAACGATGGCGACATTCGATTGGAAAAAGTCTCCTCCGCAACTGACTTCAATGGCAACATTTGATTGTCCACCCAGAAATTGGCACGCTGAAAGAGTCAATGAGACTGACTTGCTGGATGAAAGCGAGAGATGCAGAGTAACAATGGCCGAAGAGGAGGGGCCTTACCTAAGAGGAAGAGGCGGACTCACCGGTGGCTGGTGAAGACGACGGTGAGTGGATTTTCTCTTCGGTGTTTTCTCCATCTTTTTTAGTCGTAGATTTGAGCTAAATTATGTCCCAAGCGCAGATCTTTGTTGGATCTGACAATGTGGGTTCTGAATTTTGAGATTTTGCTGGTAGGAAGGAATGGCCATTTGGTACATACAAGAATTGTCTTGACCTTTTACTTATAGCTTTTTCAATGCCATATGGGCCACTAGAGCTGTATATTCATGTTGGATTTCTATTTAATCATCATCTTTGTTGTGAAGTTTGTCTTCATGATATCTTTTTTGTTTACTACAGGTACCATGTTCTGTGTTCATGGTTGAATTAAGTCCTTATTCTCGGTTGACAGTTCCCATGGTAGTGTTACTGGTGTTATAAAGTTTGAACTTGGACCTGAAATTACTCCCAAAAGGTAAACTTTCTATTTACATATGTATCTGACAATCAACTGCTGTCCTGTCAATCATCCTTCCTAAGCTTTCCATTTACACTGCAGCTATGTTTTGAGCAACTTCTATAATCACATAAAATTGGTTTTTGTTAATCTCTTCCAATCGCATCTCCAGAGAAACTCCAATGAGATATAGAGGGATACAAGATTGACTCGGACCAGATATATCATATTTTAAAGTGCCCATTTTGGTTTGGGGTTTTCCTACCTTTCATTGATGTTGACCTTGGGAATGCAGATTAAATCCATTTGTAACAGCGGAATCAGTTTCTAAAATCTCAATGGTCATTGATGCTTTAGTTTCATGCTTGCATTCTTTTTCCTCTTTGTAATCCAGGTCTACCGCCTGCTTATATGAATGTTGGGGAATATGACAAGGTTGTTGCCTGATTCTGTTACTTACATTGTCTTCATAAGTGGGTGTTGCAAGATGTAAAAAGGCAGTCAAGGTATAGGTTTTTTTTTTTTTTGGCATAAGTGACGGATTCAAAATTGCGGTTGATAAAGGAGGCCTACTCATATGTGATTTCGGCCTACAACAAGCAAGTTCTTGAATAATGGTACGAACCCCATCCATTGCCTATTTCGCATTTGCTCATTTCAGTGCTTTAGCCTCTACTATGAATTTCTGTCAGTTCTTTATCCTCAATTTCTTGCTATGATGTTGAGCGGTGGGATGCTGCTTTATTCGCTTTGATGGGAGAGGAACACGGTTAAGGAGTTGGTGCAGACGCTTAATCTTATATTCAACGAGGTCACTCCAATTTCATCATTGTGTGTTACTCCAGATCGTGGCGACAGCATACATGTCTAGCAGTGCCAACAACACCTGCTGGTATGATCTTATGTGGTACTCCAGATCCACAAAATTATCTTCTTCCTGCTCCTACTTTTTTCGTTTGCTTATGTTTTTTCTCAGATGTGCTTTCATAAATTTGTTGCAATTCATGATGTTGGTTTGGACTTTATATTAGCTGAAGTGAAGCTTCAGGGCACTTCAAGTTGCTGCAGAATCAGAAAGTGACGCTTTCAAAATAGATGTTGCAACTTTTCTTTCTTTACCATTCTAGAGACAGCTCTTTAAATTCTTATTCTGTCAATTGTGGATTCAGTTTTGCCTAATGTTAACTATTCCTGGCTTCTGTAGTTTGCAGGTGTTTTGCTTGCTTTACGTTCTCTTTATTTTTGGCAAGAACCATGTTGGCTTTGATCAAGCTTCTGAGGAGGAATTGGGGTTTGCATTTGCATTAAAAAAGTCCAGGAGGATACTTATGAAATAAAGTCCAGACCATAAGAACAAACCAAATACAGAAGTGAAAAAAAAAGAAATCCATGGCAGAATTTGCCAGAGCTCAGACATGAAGTTGTAAAGCAGGAAGAAGCTTTTGAATGTCTTAGTCTTCATGTTCTCTGTCTTCGTATTTATTAAATTACTATTGTTGGGTATGGTTGATGATTTCTTCTTTTTAATAAAGATTGCTAAAATTTTAGAAAGCTAGCCTAGGCATGTATTTATTTTTTGTATGAAGTAATGAGTTTCATCTGTCATCTCTAAAAAAGTTTTTTTTTGGGTAGTTAGACTAATGTTTTGTATATAATCATTGTGTCTGTCATAGCAGGAGTGTTAGTTTTTTGAGTTAAACGTATGACACTTCATGTATATCATTTCTAACGTTTTAACTTCATGTATATCATTTCTAACGTTTTAATTATACGTATATTGGGATCACATATACCAAACATGAATATGTGTCCTGCGGCGTAGCCGCGGGTAATGATTCTAGTATATATAAAAACCTCAGTGGAAGACCAGTTCTCTGAGTGCAAAAGTGCAACTAATCCAATATCCATTCTCTCAATAATATTCATCTGAGCAACTCTGGCAAAAACTAACATTACGGGCTTACGGCTGCTCCATTGCACATCCTGCAAAAAGCGTGGCGTGGCTAGTGGGCAGTGGCTTCCCTTTTTATTTTAGTGTTGGCAGGTGTTACGATGCTGAATCTTTGGTCTCGGCAAGATGGTGGCGTCGGCTTGTTCCATGACCAGCAGGGCCTCGCACCCTTAGCTGGCGATGGCTTGCAGGAGGCACGTTGTGATTCAAAAAAAGAGCTAGTTATCAAAGATTAACTTAATCTCTTACTGTTTGATGTTTGATTTCTGATAAGGTACATAAACGGCGGGTTCCAACAAAAGAAGTTGGCAACGATGATTATGTAGGGGCGGTAAACAGTGCGGTCCGGATCAGACCAGACAAATATGGTTTGTTGTTCAGACCGACATGTTATAACATATATCATGAACTAAACCATATACTATATGGTTCAAATCATACCAGACTTATATGGTGCAGTTCGGTATGATCTGGGCCAAGCAGACCATGTTCAGCACAACTTCACTCTTCTCCAACCTTTCGGTCCTCTTCGGTATCCACAAAATAAAAAATTTCGGTGCCCAATATAGTAGTGAAACAAAAATTTAGTGACCTTAATTAACCTGCAAAGAAATATGCGGAGAGAAGTGTATTTTTTCGAAACATAGAGAGTGTTTGAGCGGTCTGTTAATTTTCAGTTGGATGAAGAACCAATATATTTTTGTTATGCTTGTACATAAATCTACAATAGGAAGATCATATTGTTTGTTCTCCATGATCAGATTGATCAGGCTTGATTTGTTCTTCCAAATGCATAAATGGAGATTTAGTGTTATTTTTATTTGGATTAGTAGGTAGTAGGTAACGATCCACCGCGGTTAATCACGATTTACTGTGGTCCAGACCGTGTCAACCCACACACTAAAAGGGGAGACTACAGATCAGACGAAACCATGATGCTGGTCTCACGGTCCGAACCAAATCGTATGGCCTGGTCTAAACCATGGTTTCCCATACGATTTGGTCTAGATTCCCAGACTAATTGCACAATTTAATTGTTATACTAACAAGCTAAGGCATCCTTCATGGATCATTCTTCTACTTCTTCTATCTCATCTGTTGTCATCTGAAGACAATAAGCACTCAAAGTAGACAGTGGATGATTAGGATTTAGGAGGGGATGGAATCACAAGCCTCAATCAATCCTTAATCGAGACAGAGCAATGTTATGACTGTTTCTAGGTATCGAGAAATTGGAAGATCTACAAAGCAAGAAAAAAAAAAAACGAAAGCAAGAAAAAAATTAAAACACACTGATTTACGTGGTTCACTAACAAGTTGCGTGTTAGCTAGTCTACGGATAGGAAAGAGCCAGTTTCACTATACTTGAAGGCGATGCATATTACAGAGGAGTATGAGAAGTATTTATAGTACTTCTCTATTTGGTCTAACCTTAACCCAATCTGGTAAAGAATAAGGTTACAAACCAGACATAGAATAGGAAACCAAATGTGTATAAGCCCATACAGCTAGGGCAGGAAGTTTGGTACCGGTATTTGGGATATACCAAATACCGTACCGAATTTGTCTATATTTGGTATTACCGAATACACGTATCATTTTGTGGGATTGGGATTGAGATTGAATTTCAATTGTTATTCGGCATTAGGGATTACGGGATTGGGATTGGTATATACCGAAATACCGATCAATACCGAAATATAAGCTAGTGTGTATTTTATCCTCTCAACTAGACTCTCTCATTCACTAGTCACCAGTACACGACATTCAACCACCAAAAGTGTCATTTAATTATACATAGATCATTACATCACTATTTCACACTAGTATTAGTTGTCTCTCAACATCAAAGTCGTCAAATTAAAGATTACCAATTACAAGAACTTGAGATTCTAGCTCTAGACAACTAAAGACTATTTGCTTAGTCTCTTTTCACTAAATTAAACAATAAAATATAATTTATATATTTAATTATTAATTGCAAAGGTAATTAATTATGTATTCGATAATACCGATTGGGATACCGAAATTATTTAGGGATTGATATTGGGATACCGAAATTATTTAGGGATTGAGATTGTGATTGATTTTAGGGTGTAACTTGGTATTCGGGATTTCGGTATTTGGTATTGGAATACCGATACCATACCAATTTCCACCCCTGCATACAGCAAGACTCCGTAACTTCCAGTTGTAGCTAGATAGTCCGATTTAACTCCTACCAACAAATCAGGACCACGCGAAGAGGGCATGATTGATCCAGAGACAACATGCTTAGTGTTTCCTAATGAAAATGAATTCACATTAAATAAATGAAAAATTAATATTATTCAACCATCTAAAGCAGTTTACTGTTGCACAAGCAATTTGCTATTTCAGGAGCGAGCTGCTGGTCAATGACAACAGTGTTAATTTCCAGACTTGGTTGATCAAGAACATGATGAACTCGTTGAATGGTACTGATTTTGGCATCATTTGCTGGAATTTGTGGAAGCAACGTAATGAGAAAGTGATGGAGGGTAAGAAGTACACTGAAAATGGTTTGATCCAAAGAGTGATTGCTTGGATCAGCATCAACAACAAAACAATACAAAATGCTCAGATTTGCCTTGCACCAGTTTAGAAGACTAGAACTAACCACGAGATTGCCTGGAAACCTCCAAGAGTTGGTTGGATACAAGTCCAAACTGATGGATCTGTATTACAACCTTCTGGACATACTGCTGTTGGAGGGCTCACTCGGGACCATTTGGGACGATGTTTGGGAGCCTTTGCTTGTAATCTTGGGGGATTCACCATCATTCGTGCCGAACTGAAAGGTGCTGCAGAAGGCGGGAAATGGTCTGGCAGCTGGGATGCAGAAAAGTAGAGCTTAATCTCGACTCAAATATAGCCTTGAGCATCATCAAAGAAAGGGGTCGTGCTGATCATTGTCGTGGTCACATTGCTAAGCTCTTTGAGAGCATTCTTTTGAGGGAATGGGTCGTTGAAATTAATCATGTATATCATGAATGTAATTTTGCAACCGATTTCCATGAGTCGCGATATTAATAATATGACATAGGACGCTTAGCGTCTATTTTCTAAAAAAAAAAAAGATTTGCTATTTTGTGTTGTGGGTTATTTTTGCTTGGGTCACAGACACTGATTTGTAGGCCCATCTTGGGCTTTATGCTTTCTAGGATGCTTTTGTTGATTCGGCTTTTATTTGGGTGTTTTTTTTCTTTTATTGATTGTTTGCCCTGTCTAGGTACTAG